GGCTAGAATCCTAGCAGCACCTAAAAAGGAAGCTATTCATGATGTCAGGCTATAGTTGGTTTGAAGGAATACCTTTTCCTGCCATTTGGTTTCAAAAAGAAATTATGGAAGATGTTCGTAATAAATTTGTGATGAAAGAAGAAGACTTGATCATATTGACTTATCCCAAGTCAGGTAAGGACCATCAGTAAGACTGATTGTGAACTCTATAAGGGAGCTTAGAGCTTTGGTCCTCATTAATTTTGGGTAATGAGTGGATTGCTCGATATATGAAATGTGTAAATGATCTGTGGTCATGGAAATTTGTGTGTTCCCCTCAGAGGAAGACCTCTTGTCTGACCTATGGGCAGAGGTTATCAGCTATGACTCCAGAACAATGATAGTGGTTCCTGAGACAGAATCTGGCATTAGTCTCTGTGGGTAAGAGATAGAAAAAGAAGGAGAGTGATGAGAATAAACAGAAGAAATAGCATCAAGAGATAAAGGCATGTATGTGAGAATATGTGGAAGAGAGGACATCGTTAGGTAGAATTACAAATGACCTTGTCAAGGAGGTAGAGTCTGAAAACTGAAGACACCCAAAAGTGGCATCATGGTGGTTTGGCAAAGAGTGTTTGCTGCATGGAAGAAGCACTGAACATTGGGTTAAGCATTAGGCTGCTAACATTGAAAACACAATAACATAGAAAATTCAAAGGCAGTAGGAATACAGGAAAAAATAATCAGACAATAACTCAGAGAATGAACCTAGAGAAACATCCACTGACAAAAGAGCACATAAAAATAAATGCAACTTTGTGTGACAAATATGCCTAAGGGAATTTATTCACCTTAAAAATAAGTATTCCATCATACACTGCAGCATGAGTGCATCTTAATTGCATTGAATTAAATTAAAGGAGGTAATCTCAGAAGGCAGATTCTATGATTACATTACTGTGAAATACCTGGGATAGTCAAATTCATTCCACCAGAATGTGGAATTTTTGTGGCCCAGGACTGGATGTGACATTACATTTGCAGGTTTGTGTTTATTGCAAATAGGGTCTCACTTTTACAAAATGAAGTTTTGAGAATACGCTGAGTGAATATAGTTTGTACTTACACCATGTGGACATTGTGAACATTGTGAACACCACAAGTCTGTGTGCTTGAAAATGGTCAACATTGTAAAGTGTATGGGCATATATTCTAATTGATCCTTTTTCACAAGTACTGTTGAAATTTGTGACAGTCAATTTGCCTTTTCATCCAGGAACGAACTGGCTGATTGAGATTGTCTGCTTGATTCAGACCAAGGGAGATCCAAAGTGGATCCAATCTGTGCCCAATTGGGAACGCTCACCTTGGTTAGAGTCTGAAAATGGATATCCTGTACTCATCCATAAGGAAGGACCACGACTCATTACCTCTCATCTTCCCATCCATCTTTTCTCCAAGTCTTTTTTCAGTTCCAAGGCCAAGGTCAGTATCCAGTCATTGAGATTTTCTTTGACCAAATAGTCTTTGAAGTTATTTTATCATAACAGGCCCTGGAGCTCTTGCAGAAATGTGAAGGTGGGATTCTCATGCACTGGATGATGCTGATGTTTCCCCATCTCAGACTACATTAGAGTAGCAGAATGTGGACCATGATCCAGTGATCCTGGGCAGTTTTAAGAAGTAAAGTGAAACATTACACAGGAACTACATATATAGGCCAAGCAGAGTTCAAACTCTAGTGTACAGTGGATATTACTATACTTTCCTTAAGACGGCCATACCAAAGATTGTTTTAGACTCTGATGTCTGTGCCCTGACTGGATCCAGCTGAAATTCCAAGACATCAGGAGTTCAAAGCAAATCAGTTCTGCATATCTGATGATGAGACACACCAATGCTGGATATTCTGTAATATATAAATCTCAAAACAAAGTTTTAGCATCATCAAGATATCATTTTTGTTTGATTCTCTGAAATCTAGCCCTCTGGGGGGTCTCTCTTAATCGTATCTGATCCATATAACTCTGGAAGGTGTACAGACCCTAAACCCCTTATCAAAAAACACAAAGACAAAATCTTTCTCCCAAATCAGCATATCCTTGGGCCAGTAATGAGAAAAACCTTTAATTTGATCTGTCTCCCAGAGGAATAATATAACCACAGAACTCAAAATCACACTCATTCTGAAAATTAAAACAATCTAAAACAAATGAAGTGAACTAAAATACTATATGTGCCTATTCTTATGCTTTTTTATTTTTTGAATGTTTATTTTTAGAACAAACTATTTCTATTTAACCGTTTTATACAACATAATTGATCATAGTCTACTCTTCCTTAAATCCCCTTAGACTCATTTAGAAGGGGAAACAAGAATGTCCTTCCCAATGCTCTATTCCTCCAACCATATATTCTTGCTCTATCTCAAGCCACAAAAAGCAAAAACAAAAATCAAAGTAAGTGAAACTCCAACAAAGAAAACAAAATCTTTTTCTATTTTGCCATGACAGAAAATAAACTCAAAATTCCAATGGAGTCCATGTACAAAGAATATGAGTTATCCTGCAGGATTTCAAATCTTCTCCAAAACAATTGTTTTCATACAATCTCCCTGCTATCCTATAAAACCTTGTTTGTATTTTGAAAGCCTATTCGTAGGCCTTTTTTCTAATCGGCCATGTCAGAATAAGCAACCCAAAATTCCTATGGAGCCCGTGTTCAGAGAATACAAGTTAGTCATTCAGCTGACCTTTTAAAAAACCATCTTTAAAACAATTGATTCACACATCTATCTATACCTGTTTATAAACAGTGAGCTTGTCAAACCAGGATTTTAACACAAAATTCCCGTGGAGTCCATGTTAGAAAGAATATGAGTATCCTGTAAGAATTATTAGAGCAATATATTTTTTCTCTTTTTTTTGCTGAATTTTTTATTGAAAACAGACATTTTCCTATAGTATCTATAGCAAGAGGATAGTTGTTCATCAGAATATCAATGGATAGTGAAAATCTGGTACATACATGAAATGGAATATCATTTAGTCTCTGGAGAAAATGTGAAATTATAGAATTTGCATAAAATGGATGTCCTTAGAATGTATAATACTAAACAAGATCATCCAAATTCCAAAAGGGAAAAAAATAAATAGTGTCCTTCATATGAAGATCCTAGCCTGTAATGCATTAATGGACCTATGTATAAAATGTGTGCATATGGCCATAGTATGACATTTAGAAGGGGGAACAAGAGTGTCATACCCTTCCCCAGGTCCTACCTTTTTCTGTTTGTAACCCCTGTGTGAATGAGTATAAATTATGATTTGAAAAAATAAATAAATGATTAAAAATAGAAATGTTTACATACACAGCAAAAGAAAAAGAAAAAAAAGAAAATGTTTTATATCTTGAGAGAGTATTGAAAAGACTTACACAAAATATAAACCAAAACTGAACTCATTAGTGTGCATTTTACCTTTTCAAATGACTTTTTCTTGTTCTCCCTTCTAGAGCAATATATCTTTATGCCATCTTTAAAGCAATTAATTAAAACTTTCACTAATATCTGCCTATAGGAAGCAGGTGGTTTTTCTTGTTATGCTTTCTGCTGAGACCAGCCATCCTGTTATACCATCTAACTATTATGCTTTCTACTTAGAGCCACAGAATTATTCAGTCTGTTAGTCTATGTCTTTTTATTAGGGAATTGAATCCACTGATGTTAAGAAATATTAAGGAAAAGTGATTGTTGCTTCCTGTTATTTTTTATGTTATTTTTATGTTTGTGTGGCTATCTTCTTTTGAGTTTTTTGAAAGAAGATTATTTACTTGCTTTTCTAGGCTGTAGTTTCCCTTCTTCTATTGGCATTTTACATCGATTATTCTTTTTAGGGCTGGGTTTGTGGAAAGATATTGTGTAAATTTGTTTTTGTCATGGAATATCTTGGTTTTTCCATCTATGCTAATTGAGAATTTGCTAAGTATAGTAGACTGGTCTGGTATTTGTGTTCTCTTAAGGTATGTATGGCATCTGCCCAGGATCTTTTAGCTTTCATAGTCTCTGGTGAGATGTCTGGTGTAATTCTGATATGTCTGCCTTCATATGTTACTTGACTTTTTCCCCTTACTGCTTTTAATATTTTTTCTTTGTTTTGTGCATTTGGTGTTTTGAATGTTATTTGACTTGAGGTATTTGTTTTCTGGTCTAATCTCTTTGGATTTCTGTAGGCTTCTTGTATTTTTATGGACATCTCTGTTTTTAGGTTAGGGACGTTTCTTCTATAATTTTGTTTAAGATTTTTACTGACCATTTAAGTTGAGAATCGTCACTCTTTTCTATACCTATTATCCTTAGGTTTTATCTTCTCATTGTGTCCTGGATTTCCTGGATGTCTTGAGTTAAGAGATTTTTGTAATTTGCATTTTCTTTGACGGTTGTGTCAATGTTTCCTATGGTATCTTCTGCACCTGAGATTCTCTCTTCTATTTCTTGTATTCTGTTGGTGATGTTTGCATCTATGATTCCTGATCTCTTTCCTAGGTTTTCTATTTACAGAGTTCTCTCCTTTTGTGATTTCTTTACTGTTTCTATATCCATTTCTAGATCCTAAATGGCTTAGTTCAATTCTTTCACCTATTGGATTGTGCTTTCATGTGATTCTTTGAGGGGCTTTTGTGATTATTCTTTAAAGGCTTCGATCTGTTTAGCTGTGTTCTGCTGTATTTTATTAAAGGAGTTATTTATGTCCTTCTTAAATTCCTGTATTATAATCATCATGAGATGTGATTTTAAATGAGAGTCTTGCTTTTTTTGGTGTGTTGGGTGCTCCAGGTCTCTCTGTATTGTGAGACCTGGGTTCTGATGATGCCAAGTATCCTTCATTTTTGTTGCTTATGTTGTTTCCCTTGCCTCTTGCCATCTGGTTATCTCTGGTGTTATCTGATCTTGCTCTCTCTGACTGTGGCTTGTCCTCCCTGCAAGCCTGAGTGTTAGTACTCCTGAGAGATCAGTTCTCTCTGAGAGGAATTCAGGTATAGAGAGCTGTGGCACAGGGTCAGGTCTGAGGTACACATGGAAATTGTAAGGATCCTGTCCCTGGCTATTCCTTTCTTCCTGTGTCCTGATGGCTCTGAGCAGGTCCCACATGGGCCAGGAATTTTACCAGAACTGGTGGTCTTAACTGTGCTCACAGGTGTGTCAGCACTCTTGGGAGACCATCTCTCTGTAGGTTGTATTTGTTTTTGGAGCTCTGTGGACCAGGAACAGCTCTGGGTGCTTGAATAATGAATACTTTTAACTTATTTCTTTTATGTTTTGAAATTAAAATAATAAAATGTAATTAAATACATCATTTCCCCCTTACTCTTTCTCCTTCCAAATCATTGATATATCTCTCCTTTCTCTCTTTCAAATTTATAGTTTCTTTTTTTCATTAATCATGTTGATATATATATATATATATATATATATATATATATATATATATTCTTTTTTTACTGGATGTTTCATTTACAATTTATATGTTATTCCCTTACCCCATCCCCCACCCAACCAGGAACCCTCTATCCCCTCACCCCTCCTCCTGCTTCTCTGCGGATGTACCCCTACCTACCCTTCCCCCCAATCCCACCTTCCCACCCTCAAATTTCCACCCACTGGGGTGTTCAGCCTTCGTGAGACCAAGGATCTCTTCTCCCACCTATGCCCAGCAGGGCCCTCCACCCTTACATATACAGCTGAAGCCATTGATCCCTCCCTAAGTGCTCCCAGGCTGGTGGTTTAGACCCTGGAGCTCTGGATGCTTGGTATTGTTGCTCCCTTCATGGGGCCCCAAACCTTTTCAGCTCCAACAGTCTTCACTCTAACTCTTCCATTGAGATCCCAATGATCAGTTCGATGGCTAGCTGTGAGCATCTGCCTCTGAATATGTCAGACTCTTGCAGACATCTGAGGAGGCATCTATATGAGGCTATTATCAGCATGCACTTCCTGACTTCCACATCAGCATCTACCTTTTGCACATGGGATGGATAATCAGGTGGAATGGTCTTCAGACAGTCCCTTTTTCAGTTTCTGTCCCTCACTTTGTCTCCATATTTGCTCCCTTGAATATTTTGTTGCTCCTCCTAAGAAGGACCGAAGCACCCCCACTTGGTCTTCCTTCTTCATGAGCTTCATGAGGCCTGTGAGTTGAATCTTGGGTATTTCAAGGTTCTGGGCTAATATCCAATAATCAGTGAGTAAATACCATGTGTGTTCTTTTGTGATTGGCTTACCTCACTGAGGATGATATTTTCTTGTTCCATCCATTTGCCTAAGAATATCTCAAATTCATTGTTTTTAATAGCTGAGTAATACTCCATTGTGTAAATGTATCACAATGTTTGTATCCATTCCTCAGTTGAACGACATCTGGGTTCTTTCCAGCTTCTCGCTATTATAAATAAGGCTGCTATGAATATAGTTGACCATATGTCCTTGTTATATGTTAGAGCATCTTCTGGGTATATGCCTAGGAGTGGTCTAGCTGGATCCACAGGTAATGCTATGTCCAATTTTCTGAGGAGCCGCCACACTGATTTCTAAAGTAGTTGCACCATCTTGCAGTCCCACCAACAATGGAGGAGTGTTCCTCTTTCTCCACACCCTCGCCAGCATCTACTATCACCTGAGTTTTTAATCTTAGCCATTCTGACTTGTGTCAGATGGAATCTCAGGGTTGTTTTGATTTGCATTTCCCTGATGACTAAGGATACTGAACATTTCTTTAGGTGCTTCTCAGCCATTCGAGTTTCCTCAGTTGAAAATTCTTTCTTAAGCTCTATACCCCATTTTTAAATAGGGTTATTTGGTTGTCTGGAGTCTAATTTCTTGAGTTCTTTATATATATTGGATATTAGCCCTCTATCAAATGTAGGATTGGTAAAGATCTTTTTCCAATTTGTTGGTTGTGGTTTTGTCCTATTGACAGTTTCCTTTGCCTTACAGAAACTTTGCAATTTTATGAAGTCCCATTTGTCAATTCTTGATCTTAAAGCATATGCCATTGGTGTTCTGTTCAGGAACTTTTCCCCTATGTCCAAGTATTCAAGGTTCTTCTCCACCTTTTCTTCTATTAGTTTCAGTGTATCTGGTTTTATGCAGAGGTCCTTTATTCATTTAGACTTGAGCTTTGTACAAGGAGATAAGAATGGATCAATTTTCATTCTTCTACATATTGTCCTCCAGTTGAAACAACACCATTTGTTGAAAATGCTGTCCTTTTTCCACTGGACAGTTTTAGCTCCTTTGTCAAAGATCAAGTGACCATTGGTGTGTGGGTTCATTTCTGGGTCTTCAATTGTACTCCATTGTTTTTCCTGCCTGTCTCTGTACCAATACCGTGTAGTTTTTTTATCACTATTCCTTTGTAGTACAGCTTGAGGTCAGGGATGGTGATTCCTCCCAAAGTTCTTTTATTGTTGAGAACAGTTTTCGCTATTCTGGGTTTTTTGTTATTCCAAATGAATTTGAGAATTTCCTTTTCTAACTCTGTGAAGAATTGAGTTGGGATTTTAATGGGGATTGCATTGAATCTGTAGATTGCTTTTGGCAAGATGGCCATTTTTATTATATTAATCCTGCCAATCCATGAACATGGGAGATCTTTCCAACTTCTGAGATCTTCTTCGATTTCTTTCTTCAGGGACTTGAAGTTCTTGTCATACAGGTCTTTCACTTGCTTGGTTAGATTCACACCAAGGTATTTTATATTATTTGCAACTACTGTGAAGGTTGTCATTTCCCTAATTTCTTTTTCAGCCTGTTTATCTTTCACATAGGGGAAGGCTACTGATTTGTTTGAGATGATTTTATAACCGGCCACCTTGCTGAAGTTGTTTATCAGGTTTAGGAGTTCTCTGGTGGAAGTTTTGGGGTCACTTAAGTATGCTATCATATCATCTGCAAATAGTGATATTTTGACTTCTTCCTTTCCTATTTGTATCCCTTTGACTTCTTTTTGTTGTCTAATTGCTCTGGCTAAACTTTCATTACTATATTGAATAGGTAGGGGGAGAGTGGGCAGCCTTGTCTAGTCCCTGATCTTAGTGAGTTTGCTTCAAGTTTCTCTACATTTAGTTTGATGTTGGCTACTGGTTTGCTGTAAATTGCTTTTACTATGTTTAGGTATGGGCCTTGAATTACTGATCTTTCCAAGTCTTTTTTCATGAAGGGATGTTGAATTTTGTCAAATGCTTTCTCAACATCTAGTGAGATGATCATGTGGGTTTTTCTTTGAGTTTGTTTATATAGTAGATTACATTGATGGATTTCTGAATATTGAACCATCCCTGCATTACTGGGATAAAACCTACTGGATCATGATGGATGATTGTTTTGATGTGTACTTGGATTCATTTTGCTAGAATTTTATTGAGTATTTTTGCATCAATGTTCATAAGGGAGATTGGTCTGAAGTTCTCTTTCTTTGTTGGGTCTTTGTGAGGTTTGGGTATGAGTGTAATTGTAGCTTCATAGAACGAATTGGGTAGTGTTCCTTCTGTTTCTATTTTGTCGAATAGTTTGAAGAGAATTGGACCTTCCTTGAAGGTCTGACAGTATTGTGCACTAAAACCATCTGGTCCTGGGCTTTTTCTGGTGGGGAGACTTTTAATGACTGCTACTATTTCCTTAGGGGTTATGGGACTGTTTAGATGGTTTTTCTGCTACTGATTTAACTTTGGTACCTGGTATCTGTCTAGGAAGTTGTCCATTTCATCCAGGTTTTCCAGTTTTGTTGAGAATAGACATTTGTAGTAGAGTCTGATGATTTTTGAATTTCTTCAGTTTCTTTTGTTATGTCTCCCTTTTCAGTTCTAATTTTATTAATTTGGATACTGTCTCTGTGCCCTCTGGTTAATCTGGCTAAGGGTTTATCTATCTTGTTGATTTTCTCAAAGAATCAGCTCCTGGTTTTGTCGATATTTTATATTGTTCTTTCTGTTTCTATTTGGTTGATTTCAGCCCTGAGTTTGATTATTTCCTGCCTTCTACTCCTCTTGGGTGTATTTGCTTCTTTTTGTTCTAGAACTTTTAGTTGTGCTGTCAAGTTGTTAGTGTATGTTCTCTCTAGTTTCTTTTTGTAGGCACTTAGAGCTATGAGTTTTCCTCTTAGCACTGTCTTCATGGAGTCCCACAAGTTTTGGTATGATGTGTCCTCATTTTCATTAAATTCTAAAAAGTCTTTAATTTCTTTCTTTATTTCTTCCTTTATTAAGTCATCATTGAGTAGAGAGTTGTTCAGTTTCCATGTGCATGTGGGTTTTCCATTGGTTTTGTCATTATTAAAGACCAGCCTTAGTCCATGGTGATCTGATAAGATGCAAGAGATTATTTCAATCTTTTTGTATCTGTAGAGGCCTGTTTTGTGACCAATTATATGGTGTATTTTGGAGAAGGTACCATGAAGTGCTGAGAAAAAGGTATATTCTTTTGTTTTAGGATGAAATGTTTTATAGATGTCTGTTAAGTCCATTTGGCTCATAACTTCTGTTAATTTCAAAGTGTCTCTGTTTAGTTTCTGTTTCCATGATCTGTCCATTGCTGAGAGTGTGGTGTTGAAATCCCTCACTATTATTGTGTGAGGTGTAATGTTTGTTTTGAGCTTTAGTAAAGTTTCTTTTACGTATGTAGGTGCCCTTGTATTTGGAGCATAGGTGTTCAGAATTGAGAGTTCACACCTTAGGAACAACCCCAGTATGACTTGTATGTTACCGTTTACATACTCATGTACATACAGACCAGTCTTACTGTGTGGGAAAGCTGTAACTTAGGAAAAGCAAGTAAATAGAAGCAACTCTTTCCGTGTTATGCTTGAACTTGGTCTGTTTTTTTCGAATCTTCTTGCCTGTTTTGAATATTAATTCATATGCATAGTTAAATTTTGATAGTCTTCTATTTAAGTTTGTACTTGGAGAATTTTATCTGTCTTTTTAATTTTGTTAGTTATGGACTTCCTTTGTTATTTGGGCTTACTTGTCTTTTAGTATTTATAGTTAAGTAGTATCAGGTATATATTCTTATATAGATTTATCTACATGTTTCTTTTTTTTCTTTTTTTTTTTTTTTTGGTTTTTTTGAGACAAGGTTTCTCTGTATAGCCTGGGCTGTCCTGGAACTCACTTTGTAGACCAGGCTGGCCTCGAACTCAGAATTCCGCCTTGAACTCAGAAATCCGCCTGCCTCTGCCTCCCAAGTGCTGGGATTAAAGGCGTGCGCTACCACCTCCTGGCTTACATGTTTCTTATAGATACATGATATATATTCCTAAATAAATAAGTAATCAATATATTCTTAAATAAACCTTTATATTCTGAAATACTTAATTACAAACTACTCAGTCAGTACAATGTTACTTGTATGTATATTTTAAGGGCTGGGCATTTGGTTTTGGATAACCAATTTTTATTGTGATCTTTACAACTGTCAAATCAGTCTGATTTGCATTTTTTTGTTTTTTTTTTACACTATAAATGAACTAGAGATATTTCTGTTCCATTTTTACAAAATAAATAAAATTAGAAAATGGGGATTATGAGTATAGTTTTTTCACTTGGGTATATATTTGTCCAAATAAAAGTAATAAATTATTTTAGAAACCTTTGTATATTTAACTGTCATTTCATGTAAATTATGCCGGCTAAATATTGGGGAATGACTATTGACCTTCATTTACATTTTTTTCCATTTAAGGTGATCTATCTCATCAGAAATCCCAGAGATGTTCTTGTTTCTGGTTATTTTTTCTTGGATAAGTTAAACCCTGGGAAGAATCCAGAATCACTGGGAACTTATCTTGAATGGTTCCTCAAAGGCAATGGTGAGTATCCTGTGAAATATAGGAGATGAGGGGAAACTCAGAGTTATTTTATTAATTAATTTATTTATTCATGTTATATGTCAATATG